ATATATATATAAAGAGAGATTTCTTGGAGATATTACCAGAGCCTTTTACAGAATGAAAATCCGACGAACCGTTCAAAAGTTATAAGGTTGATCCGCTTTTCTTTTGTTGACAGTACCTAATATAGTACTATACCGCTGTACAGTTTGAAAAAAAAACGTAAATGCTTTAAGATAGATTCTGAAAAAAGTGGCTTGACAACTACTTTCTTTCTATTGCTAATGCTATGAACTCTAAACTGGAATTTCAAAAAACTGGTGAAACAAAATTTATATTTGAAATCTTTTTTCTTCAATAGATTATCATGCAAAAATAACTAACAAACAAAACTACATACCAAAAATAACTTATCATATAAAAAGTCCAAGTATATAAAAATCTCAATTTTGAATTTATGCCTCTCACGTTGGTTTTTCTATTGCCCGGGAGTAAATGTATTGTGTTAATAGGTTTCCCTTTAATAGATAATTGCCTCCTATTTAAGGTAAGCCCATCAAATTTTTACGCCTTAGTACATAATGCAGTAAAAGTTCAATCAAAAGTAATTCAATGTATATCGTCGTCGTTTTTCTCCGAATTGTCATCGAAGCAGTACAAAACCAGACAACACTTCTATAAAATGGAAAAAACTTTGAGGGGATACTGACCTAGTACTAAGAGTGATTTGTTGATGTTGTTGGCCTCTTTGAGTGTCTCTCCCCGGCTGTTGGTCTTCTTGGTCTTCTCCGATCCTGCCAGGTCGACCAGGAAGATCTTTCCGTAACGCCGGATGAAGTGGGTGGGATCTTCTGAGTCCCTCACCTCCGAGGTCAGGGTCAGAATGAGCATCGTGTGGGACCTCGAAGAGTGCTCGTTCATGTTGTGAGCCCTCACCTGACGGTTCTTTCTACCTGCGTTGAATATATATATTAATTGGAAGATGATCACTGTTACACGTTGCCTATGACCTCAGAGCGAGCTCTGATAGCTTATAAACAAGATGGCGTGTTCAATTCTAACTGAATTTCCCCACATAAATTAGAATGTTCATAAAAATGAAGTTAATTAAATACAACGCCCTATCGTATAACGAATTTGTTAATTCTTTCTCCTCTATGTCTTTTACTTAATTTAGATTTATTATTTTTCAATATATTTTAATGTATTTGTGATATATTTTTGTGTTTTATGTACCTGACATCTTCGATGCATAGTTAGTTTGTTTATGTTTTACATGGCGTTTGGTGCCTGTCTTTGTGTTAAGTAAGAAATATATAGTGAAAGAATTTAAATCTTTGGGAAAAATATTTTCGAATGAATATAGAATGTGTCACAATGGTTACTTGACGGGTTTACTCGAAAGAACAGTTGCAAACGTAAACAAATGCCACTTTTCAACAATCCATCAGGATCGAGATATCCACAGTATGTCAGCTGCTGGTATCACATTTTACTTTTCAAAACTGTTATCAGTTGCATTGCAGGATTGCCGCATGTTTAAATAACGTTGTTAACGTTGAAGCTCAATATCAAAGATTGTTACTACAGACAAGCAAATAACCCTTTATTTCAGAACTATATTCAAAATTATTTTTAAAAAAATGTATAAAAATGTTGTGTCGTAAAAATCAAAAAATAAATAAATAAACGTGCATTAAAAAGAAATTCAAATAGAAAAAAGAATTTTAAAAGTAAAAAGAACACAAATTTTTAGAGACATAAAAAAATTGAATTTAACACAGTAGTTAGCACAGTAGTCACATGTTTGAAGAACGTTGTTAACGTTGGAGAGATATTCTTAATAATGTAAGAATGTACCGTAAAGAGCTCGATTTCGCACGCGGATTGTCGGGCTTCCAAAGCGGGGGAGCCATGCTTTCTTCTCTGAGGTTCAAAATTGTGATGGGATGTCTTTGGATCATCCTCAAGGTTGTTTCCAAGACCCATAACCCATTGCGCAGCTTTAGTGAGACGTAAAGAAACTACATTTACAGCAATAGCTTTGTTATGAGGAATATTTCAGAAGAAAAAAAAACGTAAATAAGTTACCTACTTCCAGAAATATTGAAGTAGAATAAAATACATAACTGAAATACATTATAACTATGCAGTTTCTATCTTAGAATTTAAAATTTATTGTTTTAATGTTTAAAACCATGAGCATAAGGCTTCAACATTTAGAATCGTTTGAAGCTTTAATATAGGTGTGAAAAAATAAACCAAGTTTTATCTCGAATTCTTATTAAGATATACGCACAATTGTTTCGCCATTTCAAAGTTTATTCATATCATTATTGAGTTTAAGAATAAATATCTCGGAAAATTTAAAAAATATTTGTGATTCGACTATCTAAAAAAATATGTACTTTTCGAATTAATTCTCAAAATAAGAATCATTCTGACACAATATCTTACCTTCGTCTAAAACTCCTTCCAAATCTCCGGCGTCTTCACATTCGACTACGAAGAGATTTTCGGCATAAAATCCTTTCTCTTTTGACCATCTCACAGGTAATGGCTTCGTAGAGGGATTCAGGAGGTCAAGAACCTTTAAAAGTAATTTTTCTTTTCTCCTTTAAACTGAAATAATGTCTCAATACGCGTTGTTTTTTTTTTAAACTTAGTATTTTAACGTTGTGGCATTTTAAAAGTACATTTTAGATCAACAGTTCTCAATTTTTTTCGCGTGTTGAACCCTGAAGGATGGACCTTATTTTGGAAGATCCTCGACACTTCATGAATAAATTTCATTTGCGATTGTCACGATAATAAAGAAAAAATATCAATTATTTTGAAAATATATATAATGATATAAATGTTATTTATTATTTCTTTGATAAATAGTAAATTAATGAAGAGTGACATTTTTTATCATACCACTTTATCAAGATTAGTTTTAAAATTAGGTCAGACAGTTAAGTTCACAGGTCTAAAACCTATCTAGTCTAGTTCTTAGTTTGACATTAGGGCAAAAACTGAACATAAATGAACTATTATATATTTTTCGTTAAAATAAAAACGAGAAAAGGACGAAAATAAACTTAGAGAATGCTTGTCAGAGAAACATACTTCTTTATTATTGACTTTTATTTTTATTCGATGAGAAATACTAATGCAATTTATCCTGGATGCATATCCTATTCACAATATATGGTTATTAGAAAAAATAATTTGTTTTAAAAAATTTCCTTTCTTCCTAAGCATTTAAATGAGTTATAATTTTATAAGAATAGCAGAAATATTAAATACATGTTCCTTGTATATCTCCATGTAGGAAGCTTGTACTATGTATTCGATATCTTTCCTCTGTTTAATCTGATTGAAGAGGTACGCAAAAGCCATGTGGACGACACCAGGGGAATGACGCTCACCAGGTCGCAACAGATCGTNAAATACGGTTACGATAGTACTTAAAAAATTTGAATGAAGGAAAGCAAAAAAACAATTGATAAATTCATTGGAAATACTTTTTCTAAGTAATAAGTATAATTTAATATTATTTAGAAAAATGGTCGCCAATGAGTGACTTAATTGCCATCGTTTTTGACGGAAGAATATTGCGAAGAATCCGTTTTTGAAATGAATAATATATCAAACAGTCCGTTTTTTGAGATAAAATAGCTAGAAAAGGTTATATATATATATATATATATATATATAACCTTGAAACTAATGGTTCCGCAACCTGCAGTTTTTCGAGCGTGCTCCTTCAACTTTTAAAAATGTTGAACTGCCGACTTATATTTTTCTTTTGTGTACCTGGCAACTTCGATTCATAAATAGTTTATTTATGTTTTAAATAGCTTCGTGCCTGTCTTTGTGTTGAGTAAGAAATGGATGGTGAAGGGCTTGAAATATTTGAGAAAGAATCGTCGTGAAAGAATATAGAATCTGTCACTTAAGAGAATGGATACTTGACGGGTTTGGCTTACTCGAAATAGAATGAAAAGAGCAGTTACTAACGTAAACAAATGCCACGTTTCATCAACCCATCAGGATAGAGATATCCAGACTATGTCACATGCAAGTATCCCATTCTTTCACGAAAAACTACAACAGGAAAAAAATAACTTTAAAGAATAATAATATTCTATTAACGATATTTAGAAACTTTGGAAACATTATAAGTTAATCTGTTTTGATTGTTCAGCTTAAAAAGCTTCAATTGATGGATTCTCCATTTCTGGATGAATATTTCATATTAATTTTTATTTTAATGAAAAAGTTCTAAAACTGCAGTCGGTGCAGTGTTGTAATATATTCTGTTTAAAAATTCAATTTAAATAAAAATTGTTCTAAAATTTTTTTAGTTCAATTCAAAATCGTGAGTTTAAAACAAAAAGAGAAAGAAGGAATAACTCCACTCTTTTCTTAAGATTTAAATCGATAATCCGATAAAACGCTTCCGGCCGTTTTCGAGCGACAGCTGCAGAACATTTTGTGGTGCTCTCCAAAATAACGAGCCAGGGGACGCACTCACTTTTTAGCTGTTTGTAATAAAATCTTTCACTTGTTTTGAAATTAAAATGCATTGCGTAATTATTTAATCCAGACATTAAATGCATTCATTGTAACTCACCTGTGGTCCTGTGAGAGTATAAGTTTTTCCAGCTCCAGTTTGTCCGTATGCCAAAACAGTAGAGGCAAACCTATGAGAATCGAAGGACGTTAGACGGATTAATGATTTTATGTATCACCCAGAGTTGAAAAAAAAAAATAATTGATTACAGTTATAAATAAAAGTAGTTGTAATTCACAATTACAGGAAATCATGATTGATTACGGTTGCAAATAATTACGCCATTTAAATATATTTGATTACTTTTCACTCTAGTAATAAGGAAGCTACCATTATTTTCTGATTTCTTCTTAAAAAGATAAAGTATGAACATGATAACTAAAGACTGCAGATTCTAATTATTCGTAATCTATAAATCACTTTTACATCAAGAAGAAAATAAATTCTGATACAATTACCATGCTTTTATTTTAAAGACATTTCCCGCAAATAATAAACCATAATTCTGGTAACTAAACCAAAATATTTAAGCTATTCATTTTGGTAATTTTTCCTTTTGTTTTGATAACGGTTTATCTTAAATTCTGTTTCTCAAAATTAAAATTTTTATTACCTCACATTTAGTAAAAATGTAAAACTGAAAGGTAAATTTAGCCAAATAAATGGCTTTTCTGCCAGGCACTAAAGAATCACGATGAAATTGCCAAAATGTTCTCCAGATCTGTCATTCATTTTATTATATGTTTAGTGATTTTAACCTCTTGATATCAACGACTTTTACCAAATAGAATAGTTATAATCGGTTTACACTTATGTGGTTCATTTAAAATACCGTTTTATTTAAATGATTGGCAGAAGCTAGGTGAAGGTTAATTATTTTTTATTCTAAAATATTTTTCATTTTTAACAAAGTTGTTGCTGTAGTTGTAGTTTATGTGCGTCGCACTAAAGCTGCACTATTGATGACAGTCTGGGAAACATTCCCCAGGATCATCCGATGACATGCCATCACAATTTTGATCTTGAACAAAAGGGATGGCACCCCCGCTTCGGTGTGGAAATGTTTAATGAGGGGCTATACAGCACACCCTTAGTCCCTTCGCAGACTGATCAAAATGATCAGTTACCCACACACTGACCGCAGCCAGTGATACTTGACTTCGGTGATCTGCTGGGAATCGTGTGCTAACGATTAGTCCACTGAGGGACTATTTATAGCAAAATGGCATGAATGATGGCTTCAAATGTTTATTCAAATTGTTTTAAAGATGCAGATAGATAATTCCTATTTTATAAATCTTTGTGAGGGGATTCATTTATTTATTGACGTGGATTTCTTTATAAATACAAAGAGTGGTTTAAAAACACTCTTCAATTTTAAAAACAGTTCAATTTTGAGAGCGATAATCCCGTATTACGGTGGGATACTGATTCACTACATTTACGCTTCCAAACGGTAAGTGAAACAGCATAACTACACGGCCAGGAATGTTCCTATGCTTTATTACAAGTCAAATAAAAATAAATTATTGGGGCCTCATCTGTCGGTAGATATTGTTTCTCTGCCAAATGTTCTGAAGTGTTGAGAGAATGTGTAAAATATTTTTGTTATATTTTATTACATAAAGTTTCTTAATTCAATTCGGGATTGAACATTCTTTTCCATGATGGTTCAGACGTTCGAAACAAAGGTTCCGGTTTTGCCGCAGCTGGCGCCGAAGAACACCTTTCTTGAAACTGCCTCTAAATTCGTGACCACGGAAAACGAACTCTCTCCATCTTCGACAGAAGATAGCATGATACTATTTCAATTCGTCTCATGGATTGTTTTGATTCGACAAGCAAATTCTACAGAGTCTCAAACTTTGTCAAGGCCTGAACTAAAGATGACTTATACACGTTTTATAGTCATTATAGCTTTACGGTAATAATTTCTTTTACAGTTAATTACTGGACCACTTTTTATCAGTCATTGAAAATAATTTAGCTGTTAAAATCTTTTTAGCATGTACTATTAATAAATAATCCCTATCCAACTCTAATGATACATTTTTTTGAGGGGCAGCGATAGCCTGGTGGGTGGGGTATTGGGCCCATGTCCACGAGGTCATGAGTTCGATCCCCACCGAACGTAATTAATGGTGACTCTCTGTAGTAAATGGTGACTGGTGCACGTTAAATCTGTGGGGTCACAAAGTCCTTCATGTTCCCATAACAAGTCATACCTCTGGTGGTTCTCAGTTGGAGATGGATCGTTCTCCGGTTCAGGTCAAAATTTAGATCTGTGGATGAATAAATGGGTCCACCCTATACACGGGCAGTGACGTGTGTGTGGCTGAAGTCGTATTCTTGGTCATAGATGGCGCCACTGAAAACAGGAAGCTCACCTTCTGCTTTCAATTCGCTTGATGTTACCAAGCAAGCTTGCTGGTATGGGCGAGTGGCATTAGAAACAACAATATTTTGAATAGACTCACCCATCGAGAGCCATGTCGATGAGCTTTTTGATGCCGCAGTGATCGAACACCTCCTCCTGAGTGGCTTCTGGTTCGAACACAACATGAAAGGTGAAGGAACGAGGACCTGATACGGTGTTGTCTTCCAGCTGTGAAATAACATCAATAAAATGAAACTGAATCGCTTCCCACAGAGTTTGGATTAAAAAAATAACGAGAAAGTAGCATTTTACCTGTATCTGTTACAGGCAGATTGTCCCCATACAGCCCATACGAGATAATACTTTTACTTCCGTTACTTGTAACGAAAGTAAAAGTAAAAATCACGTATTTTTGTTTGTACTTCATTACTTTTTAAATGTAGTTCTTTTAATTGTTTTTTCGTTACTGTTTTGGGGAAAAAGTATAAGTATTTGTAACGAGAATGTCGCAAGAAATCGTTACTTTTTTTCAGAAATTTTTTTTAGTGTTTTCTTTTTCAAAAAAAAATTTTTTTGTTGGAATTTCTTAAGTTTTTTTTCAAATTTATAAATTGAATGTATTATATGTTCTTTAACAGCTAACTTCCTTTTCCAAACATCTTTAAAGATTACAATTTCCCGAAGGGGAGAGGGCGGCTGGTGGGAGGGAACGTGAAATCCTCACTTTAATCGATTTTATGGATTTTACTTGCATATTGATACAAATTTTTTTTCCTAAAATCTTCAAGCAAATAATTATAATGTTATCAATCTTTTTAACAAATTAAATTGTTACTAAAAAACCTGAAAGTAAAAACAAAATTTCTAAAGATTTAATAGTTTTAAAATGAGCATCATTTAAAATTCCTTTTTATACGCAAACATCGAATTTGATTTCACGTTTGGTTTCTTTCAACTTTCACTATTTCAATAGAATTTTGTAACATTTTCCTTCATTTTAAAGTTTTATACCCTTAAAGTAAAATTTAAGGCATTTCAAATAAATTTTTCTTACATTTTTTAATGAGATTTACGATTACTTTGAATTTTCGATTTTCACGAAATGTACTTTAAAATCTCTACTTTTTTTTGTTTTGTACTCGTACTTCTAACTCGTTACTTCGTGAAATAAAAACTTTTTTCTTTTTATTCGTTACTTTTTCTTATAGTACTTGTACTTTTGCTAGTTAATTTTAGAAAGTAACTTTCCCATGTATGGTACAGTCACTTACCCTCCAATGGATGGATTTTAAGACAAGGACTAAAACAGGTGTCTCTAACTTGAAATCTTGAATTTTAGGTTGCCTTTTTAAATTTCGTTTTCTTGATTTATAGCAGAATTTTATACTGGAGTATAATTTGATTGCACAATACGTTTGAAAAAGAGATGTTGTTTAATTAAATTAAGAAAAAATTGCTTGATAACTTATAGAATTCCTTTCTCAAGTTATTAAAGGAATAAAATTATGCTTTTTTGTCGTCATGGATTGGTAATTTAATACTTTAAAGTTGTATGTTCGTAGTTAATTTTTTTTAGTTTAATTTACTTTTATTATTGTGTTGACTTCTGAAAACTGATTTGAATGTATATGTAAAGTTCTTTGTATGTAAATTACGTAAAAACAAAGTCTACAAACAGACAACAGTATACAACAAAAGAATGCAGATGGTAAAATTGCATTGTTAAATTTTGAAAGAAAAAATCTATTAAAATTGTTAAAAAAAACTCTTCTAATTGTGTAACAATCTATCTTTTTGCACGCTTTTCAAAGATACCGCTGACTATATTAAATATCTAAACAACAATATAGTTGTGAAAACTAATTAATAATTAAAAATAGCATACTTAGAAACACCTTTGTGGTTTACACTTCTTTAAGGTTATTTTTTGAAGGTTCTGTGCTCACATGAAATGATGCTTTTTTCCGAATAATATGCTATTTTCAACAACTTGCAACAGTTCATAACCTTTTCAACAGTTCATAAAAGTTTTCATAACTTGCAGCAGTTATTCATGACTGTTAGGGTCAAGTTTAGCCTATATTTTGCCAGCTCCCTCTATATTTATTCTGAAAATGGCGTAAAACGTCAATATGGAGAAAAGCCACAGTTTTGAGAAAATTAAAAGCGTTTGCGGGTTAATTTTTTAATATTCATATACTTTCTCTAATGCTTGCAGTATCTGGGCTCATAAAAATTTGCAAAAAAAATGAAAATGAATCATTCTATTTAATAATTTTCCTCTAGATGAAAAAATGACTCCAAAATAGCGGTTTTTTTTAAAACAGTGCAATTAATTTTATAATATTTTAGTTATTTGTCCGTTCTAATAAAATCCAGATAATTCTTCACTGCATATATAGTTTTATTTTATAATCGTCGTTGAACAGCCGACCCAATGTTTGGGTCTACGATTACCCATGCTCAACTTCCTTTTTGAACCCCAATCCAGAAGACAATGGAAATCCTGGATCAAGTATCGGGAGAAATTTGCTTTCGTGGAGGACTTTTTGATGCAACTAATTTCCGTTATCGCAACCGCATTTGCGTTACATGGAGAGAAAAACCACAAAACCTTCCAAGGTTAGTTTAGCGGCAAAGACACTCTAACCCATGATCCGTCTACCACTGAGAATATTTTAAGTCAGCACTGAGTTCGATACGAGCCGGGTGCGGAAATCTTTCCGAATGGAACCCGATTCAACTCATTTGAAGGCGAACGCTCTATCCTCTGTGTCGCCACAGCTCTGCATATATAGTTCAAAATTAAATGGGATTTTTTTTATTTTCTTGTGAAAAATCTTCGAAAGACCATGCTTAATGGTTAATTTTGGAGGGAAAAACAGAGGCCTCTTAATTCGTGAAAGTAATGCTGCCTGTTTCTATAAAGGTATAGGTTGTTTAATTAAAGCTGCAATTTTCCACCGCCATATACGACGCCAATATCTACCTTTCAGCAAGTGATGGTAAAAAGTTGCTTTTGTTTAAGAGCTGTTTTCAGCGTTTTCTCAACTTAAAAATAAAATATTGTTTAAAATTTGTTTTTGCCCCCTAAATGTTTTTATACACAATTTTAATGACGCAAATAAATTTCTCTCTCCCACTCGAAGTAATACTCCGGACTGTGGAGAACCAAGTATTACTTTCAGTGGGAGAAGTACTTTTGATATTTGCTGGAGTTAAAATTACGTCTCCTTTACTACGTTTAGTTAAAGCTGTTTCCCGAAAATCGATCGCTAAGAAAAATTAAAATGCTATAGTTTAAATGCACTTGAAGCAATGCGATGATTTTAAACTACATACACATAACCTTGCAGTGAAGACTTATCTGGGCTTTAGAACAGACAAGTAACTTAAACATTTTAAAAGTTAGTAAACTTGTTTAATAATCGCCAATTTGTTGTTTGGCGCCATTTTCAAATTAAGCGTAGACAGTGCTGGCGTTAGATAGGCAGGCTAAGCTTGATCTATCAGTCCTGAGTAACTGTTTCAAACTCGCAGCAGTTATAAAAAATAGCATATTATTAAAAAAAAACATCACTTAATAATAACGACGGAGCATTCGAAAAAGAATTTTAAGATCTTAAGAGAAATCATTTAGATATGAAACCGATAATATTACTTGAATGAATATTATGACAATTATCACAAGCTTAATTAATGAATCACATTTAGATATTTTTAAGGCTGTGTTTAACCAAACTATTGTAAAAAAAGTCTTACAAAATATTGAAAAATCGAGATTAATACATAAATTATTTATAAATTATCATTTTTTAGTTAATAAATTCCAAAACAAAATTTATTGAGCAAAGAGTTTTTTCAGAAATATGTGAATAATTTCAATGTATATGTTCTAATATATTATATATTAGTTTATAAATATCCANCATAAATTATTTATAAATTATCATTTTTTAGTTAATAAATTCCAAAACAAAATTTATTGAGCAAAGAGTTTTTTCAGAAATATGTGAATAATTTCAATGTATATGTTCTAATATATTTATATATATCTTTAGGAGTTTCTTGTAAATTATCTCATTACATTTTTGAAATAATATGGATTTAAAGCAAATAAATTTGTTCTAACTAATTAATGGGATTATTTTACTAAACAGATAAAGAGAGAATCTTTACTGGAAATACTGTAGGAAAGAATATTTACAGAGATTTGTCCTTCCGCTGGGAATTGTACGACTTGAATATCTTTCTTTCCTTCTTCTTGATGAGTGAGTGGCCGCACTCTGAAAAAAATACACAAATATTTTGGTTTGGGTAATTATTTTTATTTAGAACAGGATCATTCACTAAATAACAGGCAGTGTTGGTCTAATTCTGAAATTTTAATTTTTTTTTCTATGTTTCTAGAAAGTGAAATTATCTTCAGTGTTCCAAATAACGTATTAAATGTTTTAAATAAAAATATTTTTTTTAGTGTAATGTGATATATTTTGAAATTATTAAAAGAAGTGCTTTTGAGGAATAATATAAGATCGATGTCGTTAGCGGACGTCTATGAGTAAAGTTAAAAATTTCGGTGAATCTTTAATCAGTAATTAGTGCTTATTATCCCAAAGTTTGGGTTAAATGAAAGATCACCTTATTTTAGTTACACTATAAATTGTGAAGTATGATCAAGAAATACTTCCTCGGTGCAACTGACTGAAAATCAAAATTTGGTAAAAGACACCGGTGACTGTAAACTGAACGATATTTGATTACGACGCCATGTTTTTTTAACAATTCGGTCTCGGTGTATCTGGACGACTAATGTTTTGTTCTCTCGAGTATCAACTTATTTAGGCTGGTAAATGTTTCATTTGAGTTCATTTTTTTCATGTTGCCTTTTTAAATTTGGTTGGCGGTATAAAATCGTTAGAAATATTTCATGAAATAACTTACTCGCTGTAAATAGTTTAGTTACGGTATAAAGCAGTCTTGCGCCACGTAAAGGCGGCAAAAATCCTTTTAGTGCATTTTTTCTCTTACTGTCCTCATATTAGTAATTTATTTAAGTATAATTAAATATATATTTATAATTAAATACGTATTTATAATTAAATATATAATTATAACTAAATATATAATTATAACTAAATTTTATAAATATACATGGTGGTAATTAATTTTGGACTACTTCCCGGCCGTTAAGGGTTGAGTTAGACCCTTGTCGTACCTTTCATTTAATAACAAGCATTTTGAAGTAAAGAAAGAGTAAACCAGTAAATATTTAGCGATAGTAATTTTAGTTCTAGTAATTTTAAGTCTAATATTAGTTAGTTTAATTTTCTATTATCCGCAAGAGAAAACAATAAGAAAATTCTCTAAGTATGACAGAAATACTATAAAAAAGTGTTTACTTTCGTTGGAAAAAGATAAAAAATATTTAGAGTAGTTTAGAATATCAAAACATTATAACTGTTCCAGATAATTTTAAAATTAGAATATTTTTTTTCAGATTTCTGGGAATAATTTATAATTATACTTTTCATCATCAATAATCCTTCATTGTTTTTAAAGAGGAAGCAATTTATGGCAGTATTTTTCTGCCACTAAGTAAGTTCTTATTATTATGTAAAGCTTTACTCTTTGAAATATAATATCTTAAGAAAATATCGAGCCAAGTTCAAACTTTTTTTTTAACGATTTAACATTTTTTGTTACTTTTTAGGAGAAAATTTGTAAAACAAAAAATTATTAGCTTGTAAAAATACATCAAAATTTCCTTGCAACTAGATAATAAATTTTACTTTTTCTGTAGAATTAATGCTTTCAATTTTTCAAAGGTACCAATTTTAGAATCACTCTATTACCTTCTGTACGATGATCATGATTAGATTTGATAATTTAAATACGATTAATAGCTCTTTTAAAGCTTAGATATAACTATTTAAACCACTTTAAAATTTCCTCTAGTCTTCAGAAGATTTTTCAGAAACTCTTAAATTATGCTTATTTAGTAATTTAAATATTTTGACAATTTAGTTTACTTTTGGCTCTTTTTTAAAAAAAGAAAAACGTTGCATTCTTATGTTTGGTTCTTTTTAGTATTTATAGCATTACTTAGAATATAGCATTCCTTTATGCCTTACACTTTTGTGAAGTTTTTTTCACTCTCGTTTAGGCATAAGGCTTATACTTATCATTTATGAACATCGAAATTGCGAATTAATTAACTCGATTTTCAAATTTGAGATAAATTGTATTATAGTAGTTATGCTAAGGGTGAGACATATAAAAGAACATTTGACTGTAATTTAATTTAAATACTGTGTGTAGACAGTACTATAGGTGAAAAAAAAAAGTGAACTGACCTGACGACGACATTGATGTTGTCGAAGTTGCCATCGTCCGAGCCCAGAGACATCACAGAGTCCTCTGAGGCGGCCGAACTGGGCCTGAAAAATTAAAATATACAAAATTCATACAACATGCTCTAAAAGACTTATATACTACAATTAAAATAATAACTCACTCATAATAGTATGCACAAAGCCTCTAAACACGTTATTGAACTATTATTTTTTTAAACCTTTATAGATATTTATAGAGTCTTTGTCAGAAAATAAAGTAAATAATCGCTGCTCATTATTGTTGGTTAACCAATATTTAATTGAGAAAGCCGAATGAAAAATTAATCAGAATGTAGCGAAACATTATTAAGGTTGGCGAGAAAAAATGAAGCACTCGTACCATCTCAACCACTTTTTATTTAAGAAGCAGTTATATCGCGGGAGAAAATTTTCATGGTAAATTCTGTTTCACCTTATAACTCATTTAAAATTTAAAGAATAGAAAAAAGTGAGTTTAGGCAAACCTAGAGTAAACTATGAGGCTTCAATTGCTCAGAAAAATTTCATAGTATTAAAATACAAATAAATTATTCCTACAGAATTTCCCCCATGCGCAATTCTGAGTTATCTACTCATATTATATAAATTTTTAATTTTGGTATTTTTGAAATTTCTTTTTAGTTTTAGAAAATTTATGGCTTATTCTAGGTTTTCCTGAACTCATTATTTCTAGACTTAAAATTTTAAATTACTTTTGGGGGAGAAAGAGAATTTNATAAACAATCAATGCCCCCCCCCCTCAGTGGGCCGTGGTAAAATTATCAAACGTTGACAGGTCCGCAGTGATAAAAAGGTTGGGGAACACTGCGCTAAAGGATGAAATTGAAAATAAGCTTTTAGCAAAAGACGAAAGCATATCAGCCTCCTGAACAGCTGTTTGATTATTTTAATCGTCCTTTTGCTTTTCTCCTGACTTCGTTAATGATTGACCATGCTCCGTGTCTGATAAGGTTCTTTATTCTGCTCTCTAATTTAAATATTAATTAGTAAACACTGTGCATTGATTTCATTCTCTTAAAAGGATTCATATATTTTTATCTGTGTGTAGGTGGGTGGGTGTTACTGTGAATGGCCGAAATCGGTGACTTCCACCGGTGAATGTTGAGAATCACATAGTCGCTTTGGTAAAAGTCCGAAATAAATACATACTAGGTCTAGTTAAGTGCCATTTCCCGGTATGCCCTACATCAATGTTTTTTTAAGCTCCAATGCCACTGCCCAGTATGCATTTAACCAGTACTCCGAACACTGATGTTTCTACCTATCTATCATCACCAGATATTAAAATATCGAATAAATATAATAATCAACGATTAAATGAATATCAAATTGGACATAACAAATATTTCGGGCATTCACCAAAACGACTATGTGATTGTTGACATTCACCGGTGAAAGTCGACATTCTCTTGATTTCGGCAGAGAGAGAGAGAGAGAGAGAGAGAGAGTGAGAAAGAGCACGCACGCACACACACGTGTACATATGTATTAAAGGTATTCAGTATTCAATATGGAACATCCGATGTACATATATTTTCTATCACATAAAAGAACTACAGACTTTTTTCAATATAAGGTTCTGGAAGGAGTCACGTGGAAAATTATAAAAAAATTAATAAATCACTTCTTTACCATTTCGAGACCAATGGTATAATACTTATACATTTACATTTTATATGGACCGTCTTTGTTTTCGAGACAAGGAGGTACCCGTGAATCTATAGCTTTGGTCTCATCAGGATTTTATCAAAGAATAGGGGAAGAAGTCTAGCTTCCATTCACATAATGTAAACCAGTCCCCCATGGTTAGTTGCGGTCCCTGTGTTTAACGGAAAAAATAACATTTAGGGTCATAACAGCCGAAGTACTTGAAACGGGTTTGCACCCTCCTCTCCTCCTAACCACTACTGGAGTTGGGGAAGCGATGGGGTGAAGAAGAAAGTTCAATTTCATTTTTACACTACTTCCAAACAGTACTATTCTACTAATTAATGTATTTCTTTGAGAATAAATTTATATCATCCATGCTGAATAAATCTGCTAACAACATTTTTTGACATAGGAAGAAAGAATAAAATAGCCATTGGTTGGAAGCAGCGTACCCAACCATGCATTGTAGAGTTGTCCAACAACCAGTTCACACGTGACGTACTATCTCCTGATTGTCACTTTGCATAAGAATGTGCATGCGCTGGATTTTAAGTCAAATGACGCTCTGCTAAATTTGAGTATGTTGCTCACACTGTAAGTTGATTTTCTATTATAGCGTACAGCACCCAGCAGTTCCCTCAGTTACGTATTCGAAGAATAATGGACTTCTTTTTGTATTCTTTGATTTTATGACGGTTTATAAATACATATAATATGATCTCTAATATATTTTAAAGTAAATCATTAAAAATTTCAAAAATCGTGAAAAAATCCTTAAGTAAATAGTATATCGAATAACAATACGATAAAAAGCAAACTTAATCAACCCTCACGATATATATGAGCTAAAATATAATTTTTCATCATATAAAAAGGATTTCATGTTATTTTCTTTTTAAATAAAGAATGTCAAAAATTTCAAAATTTTTGCATCTTAACATTTAAGCTTTTCGGAAATGTATAGTACTCAATGGAAAACTTTCCAAACGAGTCTCTGATATATTTAGTAAATTTTCGAACGAAATTAATTAACTAATGAATGATTTTTAATAAGTTAATAATAGTTTTTAACCGGGAAAATTATGAACAATCTAATGGGGATTGAAAATACCATTAAAAGTTATCGTGCAATTTTCTCTTTTCAGTCACTATTTTTCGTTCACATATGTGAAACCGGAAAATGATATTGCGTGACTATCCCTTTCATCTCATTTTTTGTGTAATTTCTGACATATATTTTTCCAAATATAGCGAGATCTCATTCACTACAGAGAGGCGTCACTTCTGCCCTTGAAAAACATTCTTAAGAAATCGATGATCTCACCACCAGAGGGAGCTCAAAGCATAAAATAGACTTATTTATAATACCGTCGAATTGTAAAACATTCCTTGGTGTTGATTTATGTGTTTCTAGGACACGGTTTAATATCCAAGTCAAGTTAATTTGCTAGGAAAACTTTCAAAGTACATCCTGGTTTTATTCTCACATTTATTAATAAGCAATGATCATCATGCACGGAAAATGAAATCTAATCTTTACATTTCATTCGAATTGTACACTGAGAGCATTCTTTTCACTTCAATAAATGAGGATATCTTTTTTTTTCATTTTGTTAGTGAAGAAGCATATTGAAGCAATACTTATGTCAGGCAATGCAAAAGTATTTTTTTTAATGAAATGGGGAATTTATTATTTCCTCTTCTAAAATTTTATTCAAATTCATTAGTTTATTTAGAAATTATTTACTAGTATATAGTTTTGAGACTCTAGCTTTGCATAATAGCAGAAAATGCGACTTAGAAAAAAGTGAAATAATTTTTTGAAAAAATTTAACTTAACTTTCAAATAAAAATTATAAATCTTAATTTTAAGCATTTTTTGCATAATGAAGGATATTTTTATTTCTTCACATGTTGATCATGAAATAGAATTCACTAGACTTAAAATATTTGTGTGCCATAAAACTGTTCAAAAGATTATTTCAATCCGCAAAAGGAAAAAATCCTAATGTATTTTTAACTAGACAATAGCTTAGTAATAGCAAAATAATATAATAATAATATTAAAATTCCTAAGTGATAAAATTGTATCAAATTTATTGAATATATAGGAAGCTAGATTCGATTTTGTTAATTTTGCGCGTATTAGATTCGGATTCAAGGTTTAAAATATTTTTCTTGTTTGTAATGACCACTTAAACAATGCTTAATTTTCTTACTAAACCAAAAAAAAATTGTTTTAAAAACGGGATTTTTATTGTTTTTAGAAAAAATGGAAAGCTTGTGAATTAAATTACAATTTACTGGAGGAAAACCAATCATTGCATCAAAGGTAATTAACGCTTTTATCTTAAATTAGCTGAATACCCCTTCTCTGAAAGGAGTGAATAATGAAAAAAAAAAATGAATAAATCGTCAAAGAACAACACATGCGTTCAACTGAAAGACATATGCTGACACGATTAATAAAGCTAAAATGATTCCGATTATTTATTTATTGTTATTTGATGCCCTCCCCGTTTTAAATTCTTTAGTTTTACAGAAACACGTTTTTAAAAGTAACATGTTGTAAACAAAATAAATACATGGTTTCAGAAAACTTGAGAAATAACAATTTGAAGACGCTGCCCGCCTATGCTGCCACGTTAACATTGAACAACCACGTTAACATTTGACACAGCGAATTAAAAATTGCTAAATACTGGCAATAAACATGCTTTTTTTTGACCAAATAATTGTTGTTTCTAATGACAGTTGTATAAACCAGGCTGGTCAGCTATTCGGCTTTTACAAATTAAGTCAAAAAGGTGTGCCTTTTGCTGGATAAGAGAGCAACACCAAGGAGAAAGTACACATTAGCTCAGAACCCCACCCAGGTGGCAGCATCACTCATTCGTGAGGTCACTTCCTCCATGATGTCTGAAGAGAAAGGAAATTTCCTGTACCCTTGGTACTGCTCAGCGAACGACCGCATGTACTAGGTGGATCTCAGTTGAGTCGAGGATCGAACCATGGCCTCCAGGACCGAAATCTGACTATCTAACCACTAGGCTACCACGTCCCAATCAAATAGAGTTATAAGTTACATATACTACTGATTTTATTTTTAAAATATCTAAAATATAAGAATCGTCAAGAGTTTCAGTTAAAGCAATGGCAAACGTGAACGACTAATGAATGAAATTTTTATTTTTAACGACTCTCCTGAAGTACTCCTAAATTTCCTCCTATTCATTCGTTGAAAATTATGTGGATCGAGTGCTAAAATTAGAGAATTAACGGTTCCAGAATTATAAGTGAGACGCACTTAGAAACAGACACACAAACTCTTCACTTTTTAATTATAGATAAACGTGAGATTTTATAGGCCAGTAAATTATTTCGTATTACCAAAA